GCAGATGGTTGCAGTGAAGCAGCTCGGTCAAGATGAGAGCCTGCTGGTGTAAGATTACATGCCGTTCGGAAGCCTGCAAAGCCATTTGCTTAGTAATTTATTCTTCAACTTCCTGTTGTTCTTGTTTGGTGTAGTAGCTAATTGGTGCACTGCAGTGTACTTCTGGAGTCGATGAATGTCAAGAGCCTGTCCATTTTCTTTTTTGCATATTACAGACGTCAATGCCTGCTTTTTTTCCTTTGATTTATGATGATAGTTATCTGCTTTTGATTCCTAGTTATGCATTAGATAGATACTTGCTCTAGTGTTTAAGGCGAAATGACAGATAGATCTTGACAACCTGACCCCTTTTCATGTCTGGTGATACCTATGTATTTCTCATTAGTTTCAAAATTTAATAAGTTTATGTTTCTATGCTATAGTAAACATTACAGAACTTGTCTTTGATACATTGTGTAAAAAAAACCCACTCTAACTGGAGATAGGCGTGTATTTCTCATCTCTATACTGTTATCTGTGCACATGAGATTTTTCTGATTGAATTGGCCCCACATTATATAGTCTGATAGCACGTAATAATGGAATTTTGTTGGAGTTCACTTAGCCACAGGTACTGTTTACTGTTTCATGTTTCCCTTATTTCATTTCAGAATAAGTTGCTGTAAAATATATAGAGTAGAGCTGATGGGTAATGGTGTCTTGTGAGAGTGGGTATTTCATGTCTTGGATACATTTGTAACTGTATGTACGTTTGTACTTTGTGATGACTTGGCTTTTGGCAGTGAATGTTACATGTACCATGATAGTCTAAGTATGTTTTCTAGCGATCTGCTTATTAAAATCTTTGTGAGACATGTGCTAACCTCTTATTTCTAACTTGCGTGTGCAGGTAATAACACCATAAAGGTTGTCAGATTTGGTAAAGTCTAGTTTTTTGTTTGACTTTGGTGAGCGTTTGAATAGTATGGACCTAGGATGTGAGACTTCGGTTGTATTTAAGATGTGCATCTTTTGCCGCTGCTACTGGTTGCATTTTGTCGCTGCTGGTGCTTGCATTTTGTTCCTGCTGCTGCTTGCATTTTATTGCCGCTGCTGCTGCTGCATGCATGCATGCATTTTGCCACTGCGGCATGGATTAAGATGTTGGAGTTGTATGTATTTTCAGAATCTCTATTTGTTGTAAACTGCAAGGTTGAATGGGATGTTGGATGGAAACTTATGTAATCTGACGTTGGATGAAAGTTTTTGTGATACGTTGGATGGAAACATAAGATTATTTATTTGATGTGCTGCTACAATTATTATGTTTATGGGCTATGTATATGGGATATACATGGGCTGTATGTGTGAAAATGGGCTGTGTATATGGGCCGCATGTGCTGTAGTAGTGGGCTGAAAGGTGTGCTAAACATTGATGGCTATAACTGGGCTGCCAAAATGGCTGAAAAAGAGCTGCGAAAATGGTTAAAATTGGGCCAAAAATTGGCCCATCTTAGATTTTGGCCTGTTAATAAATGGGCTGAGGTAGTGTCTCGTCATCATCCATGTAAGCATCCATGATGATGTGGTGGTTCATCCGTGACGTTTATTTTTCGTCACAGGAAATTGACTTGGGCTGGGCTAACTAGGCCTCGAGCTCTACCGTGACGATTTAAGATTGACAAAACGTCACGGAGGTTAATCCATGATGCTCAATCTATGATGATATCTGAAATCATCACAGAAGCTGCTTGGTGAAGTTTTTTTCGTTGATCCGTGACGAAAATTTTTATATCATTTTACAATAAATATTTTTATAAAAATAAGAAGTCAAAGTTATGTCTTGGTGATCATGTCGCTGTCCAAAATGGTTTCTTTTACCAACCTGGAGTAACAATTATTATATATGCCGGGAGAGGTTCAGTAAATTAGACAACTTCCTCGCTTGTAGGAATTCATTCATCTAGACCCCTAGGTAGTTAGTAGTTTTCGGCAAAGCTCTTGCCAACTTTCTTAAAAAAATTATATTTGTCATGACGTTGACGTATTCTTCAGAGCTCACCCTCTTCATGATGTTTGGATCACTATCACTTTCTATGACACACACCTTGGTCCCACTTTTTCTTTCACATCAGCCTTGGACAGTGCCGCTTGGTGGCTTCTTCAACCAAAGATTTTACGCCATTGATATAGTGTCTTACATCCACCGTCATCAGTGCATCTGCAAATTTTGTATATAAAAGAATGGCATCGATCTATTGGAGCAAATTACACCCATAAATATTTTTTTCTGGTTTTTTGGACAGTAGTTAGTAAACTAGTAAAATTTGTAGTTATCACGTAAAATGTACGTTTTTGTCATAGCTGTTTTACGTATTACGGTAGCGTTCTCAATTGGAACAAATCTTGATTACAAAGTTTGAGGTTTGGCTAATTCTTAATGGATAACTCCATACTTGACCCACCGCTACAAATTTGTAATGTTCGATCACCATCCGTCATGACGCGCCTGCCTATATTAATCAGAGCTAGCTGGCGTTCTAGGGCAAAGCAAGGCCTCAAGTGGAGTGGAGTACTGCAGGGCGGTGAGCGCGGCCGGCCAGGATCGGAGTGCGTGGGAAGGACGACGCAGCCTCGCTCGAAGTCGGCACGACTTTAGGTACGGTAGCCATGGCGGCCACGTCACCGTTGCCGCGGTGGGCGCCGACGCCGGGCCGGGCGCGGCTGCTATGGTGGCGCTGGGGCGGCAGCACGGCCGACGCCGCTGATCATCCGCCTGCTGGCGGCCAAGGTCGGTGGTGGTCGCTCGGTGCGGCGAAGACGCCGCTCATCATGAGCCTGCTGGCGGCCGAGGTCGGTGGTGGTCGCTCGGGAGCGGCATCGGCATCTTCGCGTGGGCTACTGCTGCCGGCGGCCGGCGCCAGCGAGGCGCGCCGTCGTCAAACGGAACAGCCGGCGGCGGCGTCCCCGGATCGGAGTGCGAGCTGGTAGCTCCACCTGCTGACGCCGGCGACCCCAGGGCGTTCCTGACGTGGGAGGACGTGCACGTCACGGTGGCCGGCGGCGGCCCGCGCGGGGCGCCCGACGTGAAGATCCTGGACGGGATCAGCGGGCACGCGCGCCCCGGGGAGGTGCTGGCCATCATCGGCCCGTCCGGGGGCGGCAAGACGACGCTGCTCGACACCCTCGCAGGTGCGTCCGTGTTTCGTCACCTCATCGGTCTCTACCCCGTACGTCTATATGCTATATACTTACAGTCTACGATGACATACACAGACCGCCCAAAAACAAGCAACACCAATCGTACATACGCACTATTGTGTACTGCTATAGATGGCCGAAGGGCACGAGGCCCACGACCACGGCACGGCTCGATGACTATGATGCCTGTGCCGATCTGGCCCGACGAGAGGGCCTGGCCTGCTCCCTCAGCACAGCGTGCCGGCTCGGCACGCCGGATTAATGCAGGCCGGCTAAAGGCCCATTCCACCCATCGCTTCGCATATATAAAGAAAGGAAACCCTAACTTTTCTGGACTCTTGGCCAACGCTTCGCCAGCACAGACTGGCTCGAGACTTATAGTGTCGTGTCGGGCCGTATGATGTAACACATGGGTGGGCATGTCCCGAACTGATGAGGCAGCCATGCCATGCCGCCCCGACCCCATTTGGTGAATTTGGGACAAATCTACCATTTTGGTGGGCAGATCCATAGTGGAGTTACTAGATCCAAAAGCATTTGGCTAAAAAAATTGGATCCGATCGGGTTGGTGAATCTGGAGCTGGTGAAGATCTATCAAACAGGACCTTAGTTTTAATTTGATTTGATGATCGGAACAGTCCTTCTAATTTGCTGTTTCATTTTTATTTTTATTATATTATATTATTTCATTCAAAGGAAACATAATCGTGCATGGCGGGGTATTCGTGTTGGCAACAGAGGAATCCTTTTTTCATTATTTATATTGTTCAACGCCTCATCAAAATAATATTGGCATTGCACCATATCAATAAAAATGCAAGGCACTGCAAACTTTGGATTTTGGTTACTGTGTGTAACCCACCTTGGACATTATTACCGCTTCCCTGCAGGAAGGTTAGGATCAGACATGAATAAAACAGGGCTGATTTTAATCAATGGCCGGCAGGAGAAGCTTGCCTATGGAACCTCGGTAAGACAAAAGAAAAAAAAACAGCTCTTTTCTTCCCTTCATCCCTAAGTAATAAATTAATTTTTAGAGCATTCTTAAGTTATTTTTTAAAAAAAAAGGTTAACTGAATTTATAGAAGAGAGCATCAAGATTTATGATACCAAGTTAGTATCGTTACATACACCATAAATATAAACTGTATTTTCATAATAAGCCCATTATTTGGTGTCACAAATATTTATACTTTTTTCTATAAATTTAGTCAAATATAAAAAATTAACTTAGTACAACTATAGGAATTAGTTTATTCAGAAATGGAGGGAGTGTGATATAATTATGAATGGTTGGTGCAAGACTTTTGCACAAGCTGGAACAAGTTTTCCTTTCTCTAAAAAAAAGTTTTTCTATAAATACAGGTTGCAATCTTTTTGCGTAACGTTGGTGTCGGTGTGTGTAAGGCCGTCCTGAATGACAATTTGCAAATAGCTCGTTAGATGAGGCGTAGAAATAATAAAAAAAAACACTACAGTGGAGAGTTACGTGAGATGTGAGAGAGTTGTTTATGAAAGATCATGTTAAACTAGCTATTTTGAAATTGTTAGCTATTTGATCTCTCTTCTTGATAGCCAATAAATTTTTTCATAGACTAGCTATTCTGAGAATTGGAGACGCCCTAAATCCGGACTTACAACTTTTTTAATGTATACGACAAAGGCATACGTGACCCAAGACAACGTGCTGATGTCGACGCTGTCCGTGCGCGAGGCCGTGTACTACTCGGCGCAGATGCAGCTGCCGGACACGATGCCGTTGCCGGAGAAGCGGTCGCACGCGGAGCGGGTGATCCGGGAGATGGGGGCTCGCCGACGCCATGGACACGCGCATCGGCGGCCGGATCACCAAGGGCATCAGCGGCGGGCAGCGGAAGCGGCTCAGCATCTGCATCGAGATACTCACGCGGCCGCGCCTGCTCTTCCTCGACGAGCCCACCAGCGGCATCGACAGCGCCGCCTCCTACCACGTCATGAGCCACATCGCGCGCGTCGCCGCCCGCGACGGCATGACGGTCGTCGCCGCCGTGCACCAGCCCAGCGGCGACGTCTTCGAGCTCTTCCACGGCCTCTGCCTGCTCGCCACCGGGAAGGCGATCTTCTTTGAACCATCTCTGATGCCACCGAGGTGACGACCTTACTTCGACGTCTTAGCCGAAGGATTGTTAGGTGCTGCCTGCTGACTTGTGCTAGCTCGTTCCTTGCATGCATGCAGTTCTTCACTCTGAACGGCTTTCCATGTCCACACCTGAGAAGCCCGTCAGATCACTTCCTGAGAACAATCAACAAAGACTTTGATGAGGTATATATACGCACTCGATCCTATGAATTGTTACAAATTCAGTGCAACTTCACTTTTCATTTATCTAATTAATATCATCATATATCCTATATAGGAAACTGTGGACAGTTCTAAAGCTAACAGGAAAACAGCAGCTGAAGCAATAGACATCCTTGCGACTGCATACAGATCCTCCATTTATTTTGAAAAACGACAGACCACATTGTTGAAATGAAAACATGGTAAGTTGAATACCAGTAAGGTCGCCGTATTATCCATTTTTTTAATAAGAGAACAAAGTTCTAGCCTCTGCCACCCCACCCGCATATGGTATATACACAGCCGTATTATCCAATATCAACTAAAAAAACGTACTGCAGCGCGCGATTGAAGACCAATATATAAGGAATGTAATCCACCGATCTAAGGATATGTTTTGATTAACATTGGAAATTAGTACTACTCTCTATTGCTCTCTAATACGTCCTATATTCTTGTAGGAGGGCGCTTCATTTAGGAGGAGAGAACAAGCAAGTTTTACCACAAAGCTCCTTGTGCTCACAAGGAGATCGTTGTTGAATATGCTCAGGGACATAGGATATTACTGGATGCGTTTGGCCGTCTATATGGGCACTGGCGCATGTCTTGGCACTATCTTCTACCAAGTTGGCTATAGCTACAGCTACACTTCTATCCAGGTAAACTGATTAAGGTAGGGCTATATAGAAATAGTCATTTTACTCTATCTGAAAAAGTGATAATGTCTTGGATTTTGCAGGATCGATGTGAAGTAATAATGTATACAACAGCACTTTTAACTTTTATGGCCATTGGAGGATTTCCGTCTTTCGTAGAGGACGTTAAGGTTAATTCTTCACTCACCCAAAAGTGAAAAGCTAGTGGCTTTCTTGTTCAAGAAAATTTTATTCAAAATTATCGTCAGGCAGTTGGAAGATATTTTTACTCAAAATTATAAGAAATTCTAGCAAGGTGACTCAATCAGGTCTCAGAATAAACATGACAAAGTTAGTTGGAAGATATTTTTACTCAAAATTATAAGAAATTCTAGCAAGTCGACCAATCATGTATAAACTAGTGCGGTCTACTTTCCAATATGAAATGCTATATATTTGCCCTTTATATATATACCAATTAGTTACAGTGCAAAGTAGGTTCTGTTTTTTATTGCCACATTGGTTATTGTTAATACCTCAAGTCTGCGCACATTTTTAATACCACCATTTTCACCCTTGGGTCAGGTCTTCAGAAAGGAGAGGCTGAGTGGCCACTACGGCGTCTCAGAATTTGTGATCTCAAACACCCTCTCAGCTACTCCATACCTGTCATTGCTGTATTACCGCAAGCAATGTTATACTACCTTACTGGACTAACAAAAGGCATAGATCACTTCACCTATTTCGTCATTGTCCTTGGCATATGTTCCATTCTAGTGGAGAGCATTATGATGATTATCGCTGCTATTGTTCCGGACTTCCTAATGGGAATCATCATTGGAGCTGGAGTTCAAGGGGTGATGATGCTCAATGGCGGCTTCTTCCGCCTTCCAAGTGAGCTCCCAAAGCCAGTATGGAAGTATCCCTGCTACTACATCTCCTTCCACAAGTATGCGGTGCAAGGATTATACAAGAATGAGTTCATGGGACTGTCGTTCCCAAGTGATCAGCTCATTGAGTCTAATGTCACCATCAGTGGCATTCAAGTCCTCAAGTATAAGTTGGAGGTGGAGATGGGGTACTCGAAATGGGTAAACCTTGCTATCCTTTGTGGAATGACGGTGATATACAGGATGATATTCTTCATCATCGTCAAGATTACTGAGGAAATTCGACAAAAAATGGGAGGCAAACGAGGATGTGTTAGATTTTCTAGATAAACGGTATAAAATCCAGCCTTTATATCCGCTTGGGATATACATAGTCAAAAGTTACATGAGCTCTTAGGATCAAAGACTCAAAATAGAGAGGCAAAAACAACAAGAAAGAGAGCTTAAGGATTAAAAAAAGCTACAAAGACTAAGTTTCAGAGCTTCTTCATTGTCCTTGCTTTCAACCTGTCTTGATCTTGTGTAGAAGCAACTCTCCACCTCTTACGTCTACAAGACGCTTCATCCATCTAGCAAAGATAGCACGCATCGTAGGAGCAACTCTCCCCCATCTGAGACGTTCGCTAGCGTCTAAGACCACTTGGACCTCATGCCCATCTAGGAGGTAGGGATGTGGGAGAAGCCACCACGCTGAGTCCCATCAGCGGAGTGCAGAATGCAGCGTGCTGATGGAGAAGGTGTAGAACGGCAGGGAGCATGACGACGCCTCCAGCGAGGGAATGGCGCCCGTAGGTGTCACTGTCATATGGCGCCGATAGCCTGCCACGGCCTTCTCAGCGGAGGAGATGCAGTGGGCTGATGGAGAAGGAGTCCACCACCAATGGCGTGCAACCCACTGTCGCCTTCTCAGCTCCGATATCTGGTCACCGCCATGCTGATCCGCATGGAACATGACAACACCTCCGGCGAGGGAATGGCACCAGAGGGCGCCACCGCTCGTGCGGCATGAGATAACCCGCCACGACCTTCTCGGCGGAGGAGATGCAAGATGGGCGATGGTGCAAAACGACGCCTCCAATAGGTGGGAGTGGTGTCCACAAGCGCCACCTTGTCCACCACCAATAGAGTGCAACCCACCTCGGCCTTCTCAAGATCGATATCGGCCACCGGCCACGCCCGATCGGCCCACCTCGCAAATCCAGTCATCGGGCACGCCTGCTTTTGGCAATCCAAATATTTGTATATGTCGAAATTAGTGCATGTAAGCATCTGCAGAATCGCAAGTATATGGGACGCCTAGCCACCGACCCGGTGGCTAGAAGTCGCCCATGCACCCTCCTCCCCTAGGAAAAATAATGTCTGCTCATATGTTTAATTAAATTAGGCCCAATCCAGCTTTTTTGTTGGGCCTTGAGGACACAGAGTACAAGCATGCATGTGAAACAAAATTTGTTGACATTATCAATGTGCATATTGTTTGAAAGTTAAAAAGTTATATTTCCTAAACAGAGTTTCAAAGTTAAATTTCGATTATGCCCACTATGTTCCTTACTATAAATCTTTCAAATCAAGATCCCACTTGGGTATATTTAAAAAAAACTATTCACATGTATACTACCAAATATCATAATACGTCGTAGAACATCATATTAACACTACATGAACATCACGAAATATAGCATAAAACATTATATGTATACTACATGAACATCAGATATATCATGAAAATGTAAAGAATAAAAAAGTAAAAAATAAAATTAGTGAAGTAATTAATTATAGTCAAATAAAAAGAAGAAAAATGCTACCGAACATCAGAAAATATATCTAGAAGATCAATGTATACTACCGAACATCACAAATACATCATAGAACCTTACATTAACACTACAGGAACATCACAAAATATAGCGTAGAACAACATATGTATGCATCACATATATCATGAAATGTAAAATAAAAAAATAAAATTAGTGAAATAATTAATTAGAGTCAAATAAAAAGAAGAAAAATGCTACCGAACATCACAAAAAATATCCTGGAACATCATACTTACTTAACATCATAAATACATCGTAGAACATCACATTTCTGCTCGCGAACATCACAAAATATAGCATAGAACATCACATGTATACTACGTGAACATCACACATATCATGAAATGTAAAAAATAAAATTAGTAAAGTAATTAATTAGAGTCAAATAACACGGAAGAAAAGATGCAAAATAAAAACATGAATAACAAATGCTAAATATATAGAAAAAATGAATAATTTAAATAAGGAAAGAAAAAAAATTAACGAAAATCAAATGAGAAAACATGACATGTATCCAATCTAATATATAAAATAAAAACCATAAAAAATTAAAAGTAAGTCATGAAAATGATTAAAATAAAAATTAGAGATAAATAAAAATAGAAAATAAAAAAAGTCTATATAAAACAGGACTAAAAACTCGAAAATAAGAATGATATAAAGAAAAATAATTAATTAGAGTAAAACTGGATAGAATGGAAAAAAGAAAAACTAGTCGAAAAGAAGAATAAAATACCACATAAGACAAAAAAGAAAAGGAAAAGGAAAGAAATGAGTGAAAATAAAAAATAAAGTTTAGAAAAATATAGAAATATAAATAAGAATAAAAATCTAAAGAAAAAAGGAACATATAAAGTGGTAAGAAAATGAAAAGAATAAAATTTCAAAAGAATATCAAAAGGAAAAGCAAAACAGAAAAAAGGCGAAAAGGAAAAAAGATCACGTAACAGTGGAAAGAAAAAATATAAAAAAATTAAAATAAAAATAGCACATAGAAAAGAAAAGAAAAGAAAAAGAAAAAGAAAAGAAAAAGAAAAGAAAAGGAAAACTAACATACCTGTAACCTGCGACGTCGGGAACCGGGTGTTTTGCGTGACCGCGTGGACCGAGCTCATGGGCCGTCGCGTGCTTGAACGCGTGGGCAGCGCTCGCTTGTACTCGCGGCCGACCGATCGGTAGCCATGATTCCCGCAATTTTTTTAAAGACCAATAAATCTGGCGTCCCATCGTGCCACGTCTCCAGCTCTTCACCCGGCCACGCGTCCTCTGAACTGACCCAAGATCGACGCCTAACTTGTGGAAACGGGCCGACAGATCGGCCCACATGGCCTGGCCCGAAATCTTCTGCGAGCGCGGCACAGTACAGAGTGAAATGAAACACGGATGAAACACTCTTTCTCAATGTAAAGTTTCATTCTAAAGTTTCGTCGGCATTTAATTTTATGACTCATAAAGAGTTGGTAATCGTGTCAAGAGAGTTTCATCTAGATGAAAGTCATTTCTTCTCTCTTTTTTTAAATACACTGTCATGTCATAAAAAATATCTATGTGGCAACCTATTTGATGCAAATGAAACTCATATGAAACATGTCATCAAAACTTCCTACAGCATCAAGTGGGAGTTTCATGTGACTTTTGTCTTGCGAAACTGCTTATTTTGGTTCGAAAATTGATGGAGTACCTTATATTTTATTAGGATGGAGCCATGGAATACCTCCAAATACGTGACTTGGCTTCTGTCGAGTGCCCTTATAAATGCCTTGCTCTATTATAGTACTCGAAGTGAAGTAGATCTAACTAGGCCACTAGGGTGCAAGAGAAGAACAGAAATGTCAACATCTTTGATATGCTGCACCTGGCTAGCGCTTGTTTGGGGTTGCTATCGCTTAATGGAAATAGTCATTGGGACTGCTCGGTGCATCTGGACGACGTTGAGGAACAGTGTTATTTTTATGGCAACAAGCAGAGGCGGAGCCACCACTAGGGTGAGCTAGGGAGGCCGCCCTACGTCCCCTTGGCCGGGCACCATGTCCCCACCCCTGGAGGTCGCCGGAGTTTGAGCCGAGTGCTGAAAAAAAAACTCGGCAAAGAAGTAAGTTTGCCCAGTGTTTTTTTTACACTCGGCAAAGAAGTAAGTTTATCGAGTATTTTTTTGGCACTCGGTAAAGAAATAAGTTTTTTCCCTCTTCTAACCTTGAAACTTTTTCTACACTCCACATAGAATATGTGGTACTCCATATTAAAATTTGATATATTTCTGAATCTGTTTGCTATATTTAATTAATTTATTGCATTTCAAGCAATTTTTTGAATCAAGTCAAATTTGAACTGCAAGTGATTCAAATAATAGAATAAAATGAGTAGAAAAATGATATTCATGTTATTGAGTTCAGTGTGAGGCCTTACCCGGGAAATGAAAAGAAATTTCGAACATCTTTGTTCAGAAAACATGACCACGAACGTGTGGCCGAATGGGTTTTAAATTCTAAAAAACGCAATCGAAGTCAGAAAATCATGAATTTTGTCATGATGTGATGATATCATACGTGGAGGCTGTGGTAAAAAATTGAGAAGGTTTCACACAATTTGTCACGTACGATGTTTATAAACCGAAGCATCTCAGAAGAAGAATCGTGGTGTTGAGAAGGATTTCGTAAGATTTGGAGTCAAAGTGACGAATTTAATTGCGGTTTGACTTCAAAACTTTTTCTATAGGCAATAGAGAACATAAATTGTTTCATGTGAAATTTTGGTAATTTTTTGGTTCCGGTTGATAATTTTAATTTATTAAGTGCAATTATAGAATTTTAATTGATATAAATTGAATTTGAGCTATAACTGCTTGAAATAATGGAATAATATTCGTAGAAAAATCATATATATATTGTTGAGTCAATTTGACAAGGTATTTTCAAAGTACATCGGAACAAATTTAGAAAAACACATTATGGAAAAGAAGGAAGAGGAGGGAAAAAAAGGTTTGCCGAGTGCCCCCAAACTGTACTTCTAAAGAACATCGCTTGCCGAGTGTCAGATTTAGGACACTCGACAAAGCTCCTATACTATAACTCAAACACCATGCCACCGCACCCACACACAAACGCACCTGTCGCTGCCCCTCCCTCTCCCTGCCCCCGCCGCTAGCTCCCGACTCCGGCCCCCCTCCCTCCCTCTCCCGCCCCATGCCCCGGTGGAGGGGACGGCACCCCAAGCCCATCGGCGGCGCGCGGGCTAGGGGCAAGCTGCAGCCCCCTGGCCGACAGCGGTGGCGTGTGGTCCAGGGGTGAGCTCCCCCGCAGGAGTGGCGGCACGAGGCCGCGAGGAGCTTCCCCATTGAGGGCGGCGGCACGCGGGCCTCTACGGTGAGCTCCCACGCCCTATCTCCCTCTTCTTACCCCTTTTATGCAGGCGCCATCGGCTCCTGGCCCTAGGGGACGACACCCCAAGCCCATCGACGGCGCGCGGGCCAAGGGCGAGCTGCAGCCCCGTGGCCGAGAGCGGCGACGCGTGGTCCAGGGGTGAGCTCCCCCCGCGGGAGTGGCGGCACGGGGCCAGGAGGAGCTTCCCCATCGACGACGGCGACGCGCGGGCCCCTACGGTGAGCTCCCCCGCCCTCTCTCCCTCTTCTTACCCCTTTTGCGCAGGGACGTGGTGGCGGCGGCGGGCATGGTGGCGACCGCGGCGGCATGGTGGTGGCATCGGGTGGCGTGGTGGTGGCAGCCTGGTGGCGCGGTTTTTTTTATATATTTTTCAAAAAATCTTTTGCCGAGTGTCGGTTTTGTACTCGACAAAGCTTGACAAAAAAAACTCAGCAAAGACAACTTTGCCGAGTCTTTGTTCGCCGAGTGCCGTTTGTCGAGTGTAATACTCGGCAAAGCATTTGCCGAGTGTTTTTTGGGCTTCGCCGTGTGGCCTGGACACACGGCAAAGCTACTGATTCCGGTAGTGGAGGGCGAGGTAGAGCGCAGAGGTGAGGCGCCGTGGGCCACGACCAGGCCCAGTAGGCTTCGACGGCGCCCAGTTAGGTCTCACGGTCTCACCTCGCTCTCGCAGCTTGTGCGACTCGCCGTCGCTCTGCCGCTCGTCGCCTCCACTCCGCCCTCCAGGCTCGCCGTCGCCGCTTACCAACTCACTGCCTCCGGCCGCCAGCAGATCCAGCGACCCCGCCGGGCGCCCCAGCCCCCAGCTGTTGTTGCTCGGCGCCGTCGCGCCGGCCAGCAGCCAGCTCCCAGGCGGCCGCCGCCTCTGCCCCAGCCAGCAGCCGCTGGCACTCCGCCACCGCCCGCCGGCCCTGCTTGGCTGCTTCAGTGCTTTCTGCTTTGGGAATTTGGTCATTCACTCATTTGGTGATTTCTGATTTGGGAATTTTAGGATTTTGGTGATGGATGGGGGAGCAGATGAAGTCGTTGTGGGTGGGGAAGAAGGAGATGAAGCTAGAGATGTGGTTCGTTCAAACACTGCCTGTGCCACCACGGTTAGACAAACTCTAGTTCCACTAAGCAAGAACCGTTATAAGAAACTAGGTATTGAGAAATCTGTGCTTGATTATTTCATTTGATTACAGATTGTCTGATTCAATTCATTAATTATGCATGAGATGAACTCTGACCGGTTTAATGCATGCATGTACTGCTCTCTGACCGTAGGAGAAGCTAACAACAACCTCCCTTGACTCTCCATTACCCTCTGTCGGTAGCTGTGTCATTCTCTCTCTTGTTGCTAGTCCATTTCATTCCCATACATACACGGCCATGGGGCTTCATGGAACACGGGACAGCAACATCTCGCTCCACTCCTATATACGTGTCGCGTCTTCGTCTTCTGACTCTCCTCCAGTGTCCGTCGTCCTGCCTATTAATTAGAGCGCGCCAGGCCAACAAAGCCCTCCAGTGGTGGAGTGGGCGGTGAGCCGGGCGGCGAGGAGTGCGTTGCGTGGGAAGGACGCGACCTGCATCTGTCGGTAGCTAGCCATGGCGGGCACGCCGTCGCCGCTGCCGCGGTGGGCGCCGACGCCGAGCCCGTCGCGGCCGCTCTGGCGGCCCTGGGGCGGCGGCACGCCTGACGCTAACAACCATCATCAGCCCGGCGGCCGAGGCGGCGGCACGGGTAGCACCAGCTGGTGGTCGCTCGCGAGCGGCGTCTTCGCGTGGGGCGGCCGCGGGCGACACCGAGGCACGGCGTCGTCGAACGAAGCAGCAGCGGCCGGTGACGACAGAGCCTGCGGCGTCGTCCCCGGACGGTCGGGGTGCGAGCTGCAGGCGGTGGTGGTGCCATCGTCGGCGGCGGACGCCGACGACCCCAGGGCGTTCCTGACGTGGGAGGACGTGGGCGTGACGGTGGCCGGCGGCGGCCCGCGCGGGGCGCCCGACGTGAGGATCCTGGATGGGATCAGCGGGCACGCGCGCCCCGGGGAGGTGCTGGCCATCATGGGCCCCTCCGGCGGCGGCAAGACCACGCTGCTCGACACCCTCGCAGGTACGTGCGTGTGTCCGTCCCTTGGTCACGTACCCTCCTCATCTGTCGTCTCATCTCATCTCCTAGTACTGAAAGTACGTCCTCCTAACTACTAGTAACTACCCCTGCGCTACGCATGCACTGTCTCTACTGTTTTGGGCCATGTTGGAGTCTTCTTCTAATTAATTAATGATTAATGACAAAACAATATGGCGCAATTCTATAACAGTGTTTTCTTTTAAAGCAAACTACGGAGGGGGGGAGATTCCCCGTCTGGATAGTCAATTCTATAACAGTGTTAGTTAAGAGTATACTCCTAGGGCCACTAAACAGTCATTAAGCTATTGACCCACTCATAGTGAAATTAATGCAAACACAGCACTCTATGTATGGCGCACAAGCCTCCTACTAACAAGTTGTTGGATGTCCGCTAAGGTTTTCATTTTAGAAAATTTAAAGTTTCCACTTTCTATATATGTTTAACATGGAAACCTTGTTGAAATCCCGTCGTTGCTCTTTGGGAACTTTGCTTGATGCAGTCACCCACCAATCTGCAATGGAATTATAAGAACAAGGCTGAGTGTGTAAGTGTATGCTTAGATTTTCCATTTGTAATTAGAACGTCTTCTAGATCGACATCCACCGCAAAGGGGTAAAGAAGACATAGATGCAGCCTAGCTTCCTGATCCCCGTGACAGAGAGCACAAAAAGTTTGATGTGGCTAGCCTGACCTAGCTAGTTGCTTTCATTTCTTAATTGATTGGCAAAGCCCCCCTGCTATTGCTTTTAAAAAAGTCAATAATAGTGTTAAATTAAGCCAAACAATTTTAAGTTTTGCCAAATTTATATAAAATTGTATATACTAATATTTGTCATACTAAATAAGCATCACCAAATTTGTCACATGCTATGTTTCAATAATATATATATATCTACCTGAAGTTATAAAACCTGGTATCATTTTCTACAAATTTAGTTAAACTTAATTATGACAGTTTGACTACAAATAGATTCAGAGTTTGTGTATCCTTTTTGGGACAGAGGTAGTGTATAACAGGTGGTGCAACTCATTCGTGTTTGACGTGGTGCAACTCATTCATGTTAGACGTATATGCACATAAACCTTGTCAGCTTGTATTTTTTAAAACTTCCTCACACATGTGCTAATTTACGACATGGACTTAAAACTGAATGGCCCTGTTAGCTTTTATTGAAAAACCATGGCTGAAAGTACTGTTCGCTGATTTGTTGTGAGAGAAAAACACTGTTCGTTCGTTGAAATAGTACGGCTCATAAGACAAGCGAACAGAGCCCATGTTCCATGCAAGATAGGCCTGTTGGTTACTAAAATCGGGAGTCATGCAGTTCTTCGCGTCAAATAGATGATCATTTAATTATTGTCTTGGACTTTAGTTGTGAACTTGTAATGAGTTTATTTCTTGGTGTATGTGTGTGTGTTTTTGTTTTAAGTTTGGTCTGATGCTTCTTTCTTGAAAGAAGTTGAAGCCGGATTTTTCCATTATCTAAGAAAAATGCAAGATATGTATATGAGGTCCTTTGTTTGGACATGCATGTTTCATTCGAAATGGTCTCCCACAGATACAGAGGGGGAATTAAACAACTTGCGAGCTTAAAACACCAGCACTCCATACCATGCCAAGTAGTACCAGGACTAAGCAAAATACTACTCCCTCCGTTCCAAATTATAAGTCGCTTTAACTTTTTTGGTTCATCCATTTTACTATGTATCTAGACATATTATTATATCTAGATGCATAGGAAAATAGATGTACTAAAAAAGTCAAAGCGACTTATAATTTTGGAACGGATGGAGCACAACATAAACCAAGATAATGTTGCAAAATCTACGCAGAAGTAGTTGCAACCATATATAGGCCATGTATGCTCCCATCATGGAGTATTAAATATAGACTAATTGCGAAACTAAATGCACAGATTGAGATTAATTTGCGAGACAATTTTTTAAGCCTAATTAGTCCATGATTTGACATTGTTGTGCTACAGTAAATATATGCTAATGATGAATTAATTAGGTTTAATAAATTCGTTTCGCAGATTACTGAGGACTTCTGTAATTTGTTTTATTATTAGTATCAAACACTCAATGTGACACCCCATATAATATTAAATGTGACACGTTTCGTGGATTCAACCCCCCCCCCACCCCCACACCCCCACACACATGTGCTACAGTAAATGCGGATTACCAGGTTGTTCACAGATCCTTGTGCTAGTTATGCAAAGTCGTTATCTGAATGTGTGGGGTTGTTCACATATCCTTGTGCTAGTTATGCAAAGTCGTTATCTGAATGTGTGGCATATGAAAACCATAGTTTCCTACTTGATGGCAGCACAATTAGTTACACAAATTTCCTTCTTTCCGTGTCATGTTAGCTGGAACCCAACAATTAATATTACTTTATCCCTATTTGCTTTAACAACTTCAACCGTATTTTTCTCTCACAATAAATCAACACAAGCATCGACATAATTTAAATTTCAGAGCTGACGTGCGTGCGCGTGCTCAGTGCTCACACTGAGAATGAATAATGAATGGCGTAGGATCCATCGGAACATATATCCCGGCGCGCTGCCGTCCAAATTAATGCTTCCACTTCCGCAACAACTTGGCATTGACAGCATTAATTCCGATGGATCGTACACTATTCATTATTCATTCTCAGGTGTGAGCACTGAGCACGCCCACGCACGTCAGGCTCAGCAGAAATCTTCTGTTGACGTACATGCCGGCCGGCCGGCCCATTCCCAGTTCCATCACCCATCCAAACAAAACATTGCTAGCTACTCCTACGTGAAGGACCACCCTACCCTACCTACTCTTCTTTTTTTTTTGAAAGAAAGGATAAAAGACTTGCTTTAAGTTTGATCATTCTTCTTCTTTTTAATTGTGTAGTCATGTAAGTAGTTCTTTTTTATACACTATGTGTAGATAATTTGGAATGGATAGAGTAATTAATTAGCTCAAATAACTTTATACTCTTACTACTGATTGCAGCCATGAGCTATATTTGATTTGTGAGTCTAATGAAAGTCCACGTGCATGTTTATTTGTGGTTGTTCACCTATCCTTGTGCTAGTTATGCAAAGTCGTTATCTGAATGTGTTGCATATGAAAATCATAGTTTCCTACTTGATGGCAGCACAATTAGTTACACAAATTTCCTTCTTTCCGTGTCTTGTTAGCTGGAACCCAACAATTAATATCATTATACCCCTATTCGCTCGAACTACTTCAGTAGTATTTTTCAGCAAACGAACAGTATTTTTCTCTCACAACAAATCAGTATAAGCATCAGCATAAGCCAAATTTCAACGAAACGAACAGGGCCAAATGCGGGAAGAAAGGGTATAAGTGCTCAAACTGTCAAAGCTGCAGTTATGAAAAAAAAAACAAATTATAACATATATAATCTGCTAACCGCCAAATGAGGGTCGTCAACGGTAACTGAAATGATGGATCAGCACAAAATACTCCTCCTTCCAAGTGTTAGTGCATGAGTGCAGTATGGAAAAAAGATCATACTCGCACCATTTGGGAAAAAAAACAAGGCGTCTTTTGTTTTGAAAAAGTAAAACTTTGGGATGTTCTGATTTCTGCTTTTGAGCGAAAGCAAACCGGAAGTTCCATGTCCTGCCGCTCATGAATGGAGAGGATAATAATACAGTACTCCCTCCGTCCCAGTTTATTTGCACGTCTTGAGTTCAAAACTTTTCTTAAATTAATCGATCATGTTTGGAGTAGTACTGGTATCTGTAGAACTGCAATTAAATCGAGGAATAAAAGTTCGATTAAAAAAAAAGAAATGCAAAAAGTGCAGCTGAGTCTACTCCACACATTCAGTTCATCCACTGTTGCTTTTTTGTCTGTTGATGTGCCGGTGAAATTGTGGCCACACATTTCTACTGTATACTGTTGTTGGCTTTATTTTCTTGCTGCGTCAATCAACATTGTTTCAGTGACAACAACTGCACTTTTTAGGGGTAGAATTGTAATTTGCCAGCTACAGTATTTTGCCCATTTCAAATCCTAAACGTGTATTTAAATTGGGATGGAGGGACCTAGTAAAAACAGTACTTGAAACTGATACAGATACAAACTGCTCACTCATGCAACTACAGTACTGAAAAAAAATCATGGCAAGATAGAGTACCTTTGATGTGACAAGTAAGATGCCTCAAGAAAGATGGCCCATGTATACGTGGACGGTGGGCCTGATTCTCCGAGCAGCTTGATACTGATTGGTCGATCATCAGCCTTTGCACTGCCGCATCGCATTCACCACCGGCATGTCACGGGAGGCTGGTGAACTGTCTACTCCGTATAACATTAACAGTAGGGTGTGCTTTTAATTAATTTGCAGAGACCTCCATCTGTCCCGGATGATCTAGTCTAGATTCTCCACCAAACAGGTTTAATTCATGATTGGAATAGTCCTTCCATTCACTGTAGTATCATCATTTTTTTTATTGTTTCATGCATGCATTTAGAGGAAACATAATCATGCATAATACAGGGAGTATTTGTGTTGGAAAAACAGACGAATGCCGCTGTCTGTCTCTCTCTTTTCATTATTTATTTATTTAATTATTTATAAGTCAACGGCTCATAAAAATAATATTGTCATTGCACCATATCGGATGAATGAAAATGGAAGCCACTAGACACTTGGTTTTTCGTTACTGTGTGTGTAACCCTTGACGTTATTACCATTTCACTGCAGGAAGGTTAGGACCAGGCATGAATAAAACAGGGCTGATTTTAATCAATGGTCGCCTTTGAGAAGCTTGCCTATGGAACCTCGGTAAGGCAAAATCACATCTTTCTCTCGTAAACACTGATTGCAAGAGGCTGTCATAGTTATTAGACAAATTTTCTCAAGGGCATCGTTCTTATATATAACTTTTAAATTGTTGAGTACCATTATGAAAACGTGAATCTTTATTTGTGGACACCGTAACCACTAAAATATAACCATTTA